TGCAGACAGCTGCGCCGGGCTTCGGAGCCCAGCCATGAGCTCTGTACCGGCACGTGCAGGTGTGCGTCCGAGCAGGCGGTAGGGGAGGGCCCAAGGCAGCACAACCCCGGTCTCTCCCCGACTCCCAGCACAAAGCTGGTGACTGGGCTCCAGAGCCCGACACAGCTGTTTGTAGCCAGCCTGGGCTCTGGGCAGCTGCAGCAAGAAGCGGGCAGGATGCAAACAGCTGTGCTGGGCTCCACAGCTCCAGCATCAGCTCCACGATGGCGGCGACTGCGTGCGCACCTCGGGGCAGACAGCAGGGCAACGCAGCCCACCCCAAGGTGTGTGCCTAGTTGCCCCCAGCATGGAGCTGGCACTGATGTGCCAGCACTCCAGTGCCTTCCAAGGTAGGCATTGTGGGGGTTTTCACCACTCCAGCTGAAAAACGTTGCCTACCCCTGCTCTAGAGGTTATCAAAAACAGCCCAGCACACAGGAGAGTGCCCAGTGGTGATCTGCTCTGTTTCCTTTCTGTTTTCCCCCACCTCCTTCTAACATATAACAATTTAGGATGCTAGAGAACCCCTGGGCTATACAAACATTTCAGGAAAAGCTCACTGTTTGGAGCACTTCAAAGGCACTTAAAATACTTCAAACAGCATGTCTATCAGTGGCCTAAACTGGCAGAAATCCTCTTCCACTGCTCTTCCCTTCAGATGACAAAACAAGGAGCAAGAGTTTCAAGTTGCAGCAAGGGAAGTTTAGGTTAGATGTTAGGAAGAATTTTCTTACTAGGAGGGTAGTAAGACACTGGAACAAGATACCCAAGAGAGATGGTGGAAGCTCCATCCTTGGGGGTTTTAAAACCCAACTAGACAAAGCTTTGGCTGGGATGATCTAGTTGGGGCTGGTCCTGCTTTGAGCAGGGGGTCGAACTAGAATTAGATGACCTCCTGAGGTCCCATCCAGCCCTAATTTTCTATGATTCCAACACAGCTATCCCACAGAGGTGCAGAGGCATAGACTCAGTAACGTAGATACACCCTCAAGGTAGATTTATGACATCCTTACACTCCCACCAATACCAACACCAGCAAGGAGCTAATTCTTAGTGTGAAGCTGAGTATCCTCAGACTCATTTATCTAACGTCTAGCTTCCCAGGGCCGTTACAATCTCTGGATTTCAGCCTGATGTAGTAGCTTCTAAACGAGGGGCGAGCAATTATTTCAGGCAGAGGGCTGCTTACTGAGTTTTGGCAAGCCATCGAGGGCCGCATGACAGTCAACCAGGGGCAGATACTTATTAATTTTCTTAATTTTTAAGGGGTCCCGCGGGCCGGATAGAATGGACGCATCCAGCCCATGGGCCGCATTTTGCCCGCCCCTGCTCTAAATAGAGAACCTGGGATGTGGTTATAGGAGCTGTCACATTACAAAACATGGAAATCTCCATTAAAGAAAGAGGGCCAGAATCTGGTCCTCTTGTCTGGGGAAAAATGAGAAGTTTCTGCCTTTTTAATTTTTTTTCTTTTGTCCAGCTGGTTTGAACTAACATCTGGATAGAAAAGCACTTGTGTCCCATACTAATTGATTACTTATGATTTGGACATCTAGAAAGCTGTTTGCATGGCTATTATTTATGTAGCTTTCTGGGTATACTGGAAGAAGAATTTGGGCACCATCTCATACACATGATTGAGTTACCTTTATATTGAAGAGTGAGAATATTAATGTTCCTCAAGTGGATCATATATACCCTTACAAAGTAGAATATGTGTTTATATTGATTTTGTCTGTACTAGAAACTGAGTCTGTGCTACTCTGTTTGACAAAGCTCCCAGGACTCCACATGGTGGAATGTCAAGTCCACCTAATTATTGGGTAGTTTACTTCACGCAGTTTTACAGTAGTTGTTAACAACTCTAAAATGCCTTCCCCGATCCCTCATTTTTCTTGAACAATGCAAGTCCTATCACTAAATGAAGTTTAGAATTCATCACTTCCAATAATTGTGTAATGGGTCTACCTCTGCACAGAATGACATTGATAGACTGGTACTGTGTCCTGTCACTATGCATATTTTGACTGTGACTTTATCTTTGGTCTTACTTCTAGTTCTTTTGGGGGAGAATTGAGGTGAAGAAGGCCATTGCTGTTGCACAAACAGAAGTCCAGGTCCAAAACTGTTCATATTGAGGAAAAGAAAATCCCAACTCCTTGCCTCTCTGCACTTTTTGTTGGTGCTTGTTGTATCAATATTTCCCTAGATGTCCTATGCAAAATTAAAAAACTGGAGGATGAAGAATTTTCTTACCTAGAATAGTGATTTCAGTAAGATACTCTTTATGGCACTCTTCTTTGTGTGCAAAATACTCCAAAATCTTAGATAGTTGGCATACGTGAAAAATATGGTGAGTCGTTATGTAATTACCAGGTATTTCATTATATGCAGTTGGATACAAATGCAGGGACATTCTATGTACATTTGCTCTGGAGGCAGTTACTTTGGTGGTATTAAGTGAGAGGGAAGTTTGGCAAAGATACCATATAGTGTTCCTTTTCTCTGAGCAGTCTCATGGGATCGTCAACTGTTCATGAGCAACTGCCAGAATTGGACTTGGTTTAACACTCACCCCAGCTGCAGTGTCACAACCCTTATTTCCTTAGCTAGGATTTGAAACCTGGAACCATACGATTCATCTGAGCCACCAGTGCCCTCACTTGAACTTGATGTATTTCTTTTGGAAATACCGTTGTTCGCTTAGAGCTTTAGCTGCTAAGCAACTGAAGCTGCTTGGGGCAGATAAATAGAGAGTACCTATCAGCTTGTGAACATAACTCCACTGGCTAAGCAAACAGAAGCACCTTCCAACCCTGCCATGTCAGGTGAAAATACTCTTTTAGCAATAGGTTTAAAGTTTATGCTAAATAGAAGGCATTGGATAATTATAAATAAAAAATTATTCCCTATCAGTAAAGAAAGGGCGAAGCAAAGTGGTTTCTAATAACTGAATTGTCTGCAGTACATCATTTCAGCGAAAGACTATGTTTTTAATTAACTTTTTAAAGCCTATATATGGAATTGAACAAATATGGGTTTTACGCTCTGGCCAATAAGCAGTTTCTACTGGAACACACTTTGCTGGTGTTTGCAACCATATTGTTTTCCATGTTGTGCCCGTTTTACATAGGTACAATTCAACAGGAAAATGATCCTCAACTGAGTGGCTTCAAACTAGGATTTCAGAAGTGCAGCAAGTCAAACATCTGGAATAGCCAGGTTTTCCATGGTACTGCTTTACTTTTTGAGTCTGGATACCCATACATTCAGCTCTTCCTGGCTACTACTGCTCTTTTCAATAAGCAGGCTTTTGACATATGCAAGAATTTTGCATCCAAAGATCTCTCTGCTGGCTCAAAGGGAAGCAGGCATCCAGAGAAGTATCCCCTGGTCCCATCTCAATCATACACCAAGGAAAAGCACAATGCTAGACGAGCTAAGGACATGGACTACAGCAAATAGTTGAGCAAGGGTAACATGTAATGGCCACAAAACCAGCATACACAAAAAAGAGTCAAGGGACTCCTCAGTGCAGAATTACTGCAGCTAGAGAAGTGGCCTTGCAAAAAAATCAGCCAAGGACACAGCAGAAAAGCTGGAGGATTAGCTGATTATCTCTCAGTGTATGAATGTCTATCTCACTGCCCATATAGCCGCCTGGATCATCACTCCAGTATGTCCCAGTACTCGTTTCAGACCCTGTTTTATAAAAGTCCTTCTATAATCAAGTTAAAGTTGAAAACTCTTGAAGTCCAGTTAACAGGCTTTTGTAATCATTGTTTTGCGACTGTACTTCTGGTCATACAAGGTTTTTTCTTTTCTGATCAACATTGAGAGGCTCTAAGTAAAGGGATCAACGACTTAAATACTTCTTCTCGAAGTATAGCTTAGGGCTGCTTGTAAATTGGCCAACTGCTTTCTCAGACTGAAATCCAAGTAGCGAGAGCAGCACCTGCTAGTACGGAATGTACAGAATTTTAAAGATGGCAAATCTGAATTCTGATTGTGTGTAAACAGATGAGACCTATTGTGTGCGGTTACTGAAAGGCAATTTAGAGGACACTGGAAATCATGTAGTCATTATAGAGCCTTTTGCTTCATCTTTTTTAAATGTTAAAGAGCTTCTCTTTGCTGTGAGTGAGATCAGGATTTGTATTCTTGATTCTTCATCAGCTGGTACAGTAGGATTTCTCAGAGTATAAAAGGTTTTTCACCTTTGAGGGCAAAACTAGTGGCCAAGGACTTGAGATAATTTCCCATCAGAGCTAGAATGACTTGGTGGAGCATACGTGATAGTCCCTTCTTGACTATGCTTGTTTAAGAAGCTGCATGCTTCGTCAGATTAACCTGTAGTAGTGTGGAACTCCCTGCTGGTTCAAATGTGATGTAGCCCAGTCCAGTGCTTGTCCCATTGCTGGTGCACTTGGGATAAAGAAGTGATGGAAAGGATGGGGTGGAAGCTATGGTGGAGAAAAACTCCACTACACGTCAAGGATATATCAAGGACTCTACCCATGGTGGCTGTCTTTAAACTGCGTTAGGGTAGGGGAGAGCTCTGAGAATCAGGGAGCTTTATTTAGCTACCTGACATCCACTCCCCTCTGTCTGCTGCAATGCAAGTTCTCATGTGGAAGAGAATTGAACCCAGTGACCTTAAAGACGGGGAAAATATGTCATTGCAGTTCTGTTTCTCTTAGGATATCCTCTCGTAGGATTTCATTGATTCCCTCAACTCCTCTCAATATTTGGAGGGGGTGGGGGCAGTTCTAAAAAATTAAATGCATGACTTAGATGTATGGCTTTGCAACTACAAATTTATGAGGACGGGTTTCATTCGTTCACTTCCTGCTCGGTGTACTTACTGTCTGGGATTGTCAATGGACTGTGGGTTCAGAGATCTAGGAAGTGAGCATCTAAAGGGATGGGAAGACCTGTAATCCTGGCCATTTCTGCTTTCAAGAAATCCTTTACAACTGTTCAGAAGTTGCAGCTTATTTGTGAGAATCCTCCAAGGTGGTATATTTAGAGGTGGAGAATTGGTAAGTAATTTCCCCTCGGGTGCAGTCTATAAAAGTATCAGTTTAGATCTGCTCTGTACTGTAACTCATCTCTTTTTATGTTTGCATTTTATTTCTGTGATATTAAAACTGAAGCCTCTTCATTAAAATGGCTACACTTTGAGATTCAAACCTTTGACTCCTTTATCATATCAATTTATTGTGTGCCACTATAAGACGTACAAGATTTTCCAAGTATTCTTTATTTCTCCACATTGAATTTTTTTATTTGAAATTACTTCTATTGTACATTAATATGCTGGATTTGATATTCTGGGGTTTTTAAGCTACATGCAGGACTCAGTTTTAAGTCATACATTTCTGCAGATGAAATGAAGGCTGATTAGAATTTTAATATTAAGGAAGGAAATGGTCTTGGCTAGTGCTCTACAGAACAGAACAGACCTTCTGTTAATACACAAGAGCATTACTGTTTTCTTGAACTTTGCCTTCCAATGCAATTATCACTTGTACTAGAAATCATAACTATGACATTTCCTGTTAGGACATTTGACAGTATAGAATATAGTGCTGTTTCTAGTTTGTATTGTTTCTATTTGAAATAGTCTTGATTATAAAATCATTTGACAAATATATCCCTAAAATTGAATTATAGGCAGTTCTGTGTGGTGTACGTTGCTAAACAAAGCTGATTCAAGATGGTACATTGTTTGCCTATTCTCTCTGCAGCTCTTCAAATGGTATGAAATCAAGAGACTGTCTACATTGTAATACGACTGTATTAACACATTCTGCATTCCAATGTTCATGTTACAAAACCCAAATAAAGCTTTAAACCCTGTAAAATGGTATAGTTTCAATGGCTCCACAAAATTACAATTACAGATCTCCTGCTTAAGCAGGTTCAACAAGTAATGATGCTGGAAATATTTAATAAATTGATGTTGGAGGCCATCAGATTTATTGTGGCACAGACAATAGCCAAGATAACAGGCCAGCTTCTCTGCTGATATAAATCATTATAGCTCCATTGACATCACTGGCTCTGCACTGATCTCACGCCAAGAAAATGTTGGCCCAATTTAGCATTTCTATTTACTTATACTTGGAAAACAAGAAGCAGAGCTTCCATAGTACATTGCCATAGATGTTCAAAATGTTCACTGTTGACATCCAGGCAGTCATTATACTGGCACACAGCAGTGATCCATACGTGTGTGTATTTCTTGAACTTTTTCTCCACATTTTTTAAGACACCCTCTACTATATAAGTCTTTGTGTTCTTCTCCTTGGCTATTTGTGTAATGTTATAAAATGCATGTGTGAAACTAATTGATTTTAGAGACTAGCCAGGCCAAATTCAGATTGGCCCTTTGGTGTATAACATTAGTTGTCTATGGAACTGTCTTCCAAAGAGGGTGCTGGATTTCCCAGCACTCAGAGCAGTTATATCTAGCCTAGACAAAAAATCTGCAAAACATATTAGAAAGGATATGGTAAAAAATGGACTAAACAGAAATGTAAGCCTTTTTCTATGTAGTGTCTGGGATTTTGTATTCCAAGATATAATAAAGTATGTGGAAGAAAACCCTGTCCTACAAAATGTAAAATTAACATCTGGCATAATTTAAAAAATAAAAACAGACAAAATAAGATTTGGTGCCACACAGCTGTTTAATTTGCTTTTGCATCTGAAGTTATATTAATTGATCCATCAGTAGGGACAGGGAAAGTAAATTCAGACATTGTCTTGGTACATTTTCTTCATACATTAATACCCTAGTTCTTGAATAATCAGGGCCTAACAGCTTTAGTGAGGGGGCTGGTATAATAAGTTCTTTGTTGAAAAACAGAGTAGCATTCAATGGCATTTTTCTTTTCTCCTTTCCTTACAGTAGAAAATTGCTAATGTTTCCTTTTTCTTTCTTGACTTTGCAGAATGGAAGGGTCTTTTGATAATCTGACTCCCAGGGAAAACCTGGGCTTCAATGATACTCTTTGTTGAACATGTGAATTCTTTCATATCAATTGTTCCAGTTTTTTAGGCACAGTACATTAAATTACATTTTGCTCTCCATAAAAGCTACACACATTATGAATAACATATCTTTTTTTTTAATGGCTTTCTAGCTGTCTATCAGTAAACTCACAGAAGTTCCTAGACCTCTAATATTTTATTTTTTATTTGTTTCTAGAAGTAACAAGGAAACAGTTTATACTGGGAAACTTTTGGCAATACTGTGAGAAAACATGAAAGTTTGTGGGCTTATCAGACAATGTTATAAACTAGAACAAGGGGTACAATTGTGGTTTTGCCTAGAAATGTTTCTTGCCTGTGAATTTGCAATTTAAATTATTCCTAGCTGAAAACTATTTTCTGGAAATGGGGTATATATTATATGAAGTATCACAGCATTTTTTTTTTCATGTTTTTGAGATAAACTGATTTTTTTAACAGGTTGAAGTTTTCACTTGATTATAAAATAACTTGATTTGGGAAAGAGAAGTTCATCTTATGCTCCCTGTTCTCCCCCTCATTTAGCTGCAAAATTGCATTTGCCCGACCCAGTTGTAGCTTAATACCACTAGGGTAGACGCAAAACAGGCCCTTTAAAAGTAGCTAGCAGTGCTCAACTCCCTTCTTTCAGACCCTGTGCCCCAGAGATTGTGGGATAGACCATAAAGTATCCTTAAATAACTCATTTATGGGATTAAACTATACAAGTAGTGCTCTTTCTAGTTGATCCAATTGTAATGCTCATCAAATATATGTAAGAGTAAAGAAATTCCAGTTCTTTGAGCCTTTGTCCACATTTTTGGCACTTTGGCATTTTTGACTCAAAATCCTCAAAATGTAAATCCTGTCTATCCTGGGAGGCAGCTCTAAGTGCCTCTCTTGTTTCAGTGAAATGTGGACACTGGACAAATCCTGTGTGTTGCTTCTTTTTTTAAAAAGATCCAGAAAGTGAAGGGATCCTGCTAGGAGCTCTTCCTCTTGATTTCTGAGGGGCTCTTGAATTCACAAAGGGGAAAAACCGTCAGCTACATCTGACAAAGATTTTACCTCTGCTGTCCCAATCGTGCCTGTCAACTACTTCCTCCTGAACTGTACATATATGTTCCACAATCCACTCCCCTGTCCCTTTCCTGCAACGCCCTGTGTCATCTGGAGCTGACTTCAATGGAGGCCTGGCCTGAGTGCACAGTTGTGCAAAACGATTCTGATAGGAGACAATAGAAGTGGGACAGTACATACAGAAGAAATAAATAACTATTCTTTCCTTACTTCCTTTAGTTTATTAGCATTCACATTAGAAAGTGCCATAGAAATGCTGCGTGACTCAGTTTTAATGGGTTTTGTGGTACTCTTCTCGCTGTATTGATTACATACAGATTTTTGCACTGATTCTTGCCGTTTGGCAAAATCTCAGGTGATATCACAATGCCATTTTATTCCTGTACTTTCCAAAGCAGTTTAACGTATTCGGATCGCATTCTGCTGTATCGTTTATTGTGCTGCATCATTAGTAATGACTTTTATATACTGAACATAAAGTGCAATTGAATTTAGGATTCAGAATCTATGTTACAGATTGTGATAAGGGCCTAATCAGTAAACCCATGCTCATATAAGTCATTCTAATCAGCATGCAGAACACATGGATTCCAGAATGTCACTGCTTAAAGTAAACTCTGTCGAGTGTTGTCCAACTGGTAACCAAGTAACTTGAAACTCCATGATGGACTATTAAATCTAGAGAAAATCCCCAGTTACTTTTGTAAGTATAAGACTGTCTCAGTAGTTAAAAGCTCTCTATTCATTTATCAGTCATGGCTGTGAAAATGATAAATGTTTGAAAGTTTTATGGTACTAAAAACATTAGGCTCTAATTTTATTGCAATTAGAACAAAAACTATTCTAAGAAGCTAATTGGGAATTGGTTAGGATATAAGGTTCTTACCATGCATAACGTTTTTTATAAGAAAGGGGATTGCATGCAATTTTGAAGTTTCTGCAAACTCTCTGGGTGGAATTAAATAAAATTAATTGATTTTAAAAGGAAAGATAAATGTAATTAAGCAGTCTATCAGTAGTGGATTTACTGTACTACTTTGAGTTGATTTAGAATGCCAAAATAACCTTGACAATGAAGATGTAAGAGGAATCTGAGGATTTATTAGGAAGGTATGCTTTTTCTGAGATTTCGGATTATCATTAAAACTTAAGAGTTTAGGATATATTTCAAGTAATCCATTCATGCATTCAGAATCAATGTATTATGAAGGCCTTTTTTTTTCAGATTATACAGGATGTTAACTTTACTACTGAGACTTCCAGGTGGCATTGGGAAGTGTCTTCCCTCCCTGCCTCCATCTTGAGCAGTCCCACTGAGAGCTGGGACTCTTCAAAGGGTTGTAGCATCAGGATCCTAACGGCTCCCTGACAGCTCCCTGCTGGCTGAGCTGTCAGGGAGCCACCTGCTCTTTTCCCCTCTCTTCCTCCCTCCCCCTTGGAGATAGGGAAATGAAAATCAAAGGACTGTGGGATACTAGGTGTACTAGAGACCCTATAGCACTATGTGCAACTGTAGAAGCATTACACATGGCTGCCGAGAGCTTACTCTTTGAAAGTGCTAATATTTTGTAGTACTTTTAGGATCTTTGTAGTGCAACAAATAGCTTGAATGCTATACGCTGGCTTTTTGTAGCAGTATAAGGACATGTTTAGCTCTGACATGTACTGCCTGTCCATGGCCTTTTAAGACATGCAGTACAGGGGCCCTATGGCTGCTAGGGTGGTAGCATAGTCTGAATTCCCACTGCCCTTTGCTCATTTGGACAGTGAGCCTGTTAAGAGCACTTAGTAGAATCAGCTCTTGTAAAGCGTGTGTCCAAATTAGGCCACGATCCTTTGGAAGGAAAAGTGTCTTTCTTCATGTTTGTTAAGCTCCCTGCATAACTAATAGCATAACTAACGTCTTGGAAAGGTTCTAATTTGAGGATAAACTTTAAAATCCTGT